GGTGTAGTGGAACCAACAAACACTCTGACATATCCGGGAGTACTGATGGTTGAAAGACACTTGTGGAACTGAAGAAATAATATGTCATACATGACTTTACCATGGAAAGACTTAAATTGGCTAGTTATAAAATTAAAATTTTAAAAATAAACAAAGACGTACAAAACTGAGATGTAGTTCTAAAATATTTGCATAATGTTTAGTGAAATAAAAGCTGTCATTTTCAGAGAATGTAGTTTTAAATATTTAAACGGATTTTTGGTAAGATTTTTGTTTACTCTATGATTTTTGGTACGTTTATGACTATAGCCTTTCTGAATGGTATGGTTCCATACTGCTGTTAGATTTATGAATATAATGTTAGTAGGTTTATTGCTAACTCTTTCGAAGACTGTTTGTAAGTTAATGACGTTCTGAAATATATACGTTAAACTGGTACACAGTTAAAACCATTTTATTTAGGCCTATCTATGGCCTTCAAAAAGTTGACGACTCAACATGTTTCGACGTTGCAACGTCATCCTCAGGAGTGCCATAGATAGACCTAAATAAAATGTTTTTAACTGTGTACCAGTTTAACGTTGAATATTATTTATGATTTTAACTTTATACACAAGTGCCAAAGTACTATAACGTTATAGCCTATTCTGCATTTATTAAAATGCAGTACCAGACTGTACTACATGTCTTCCACTCCTTTTAATTTACAAGTTTCTGCTGTTTTTTTATAGTCCCTTGTTGTAATATAGCATTGCTCAAGTAATTTTTTAACTTTATCTTTCCCCAGGAGCTAATTCGGTCAAATGAAGGTTAGACACCTTCTTATCCGATTCTTTTGCAGGAATAACAATGTGCTTTTAATTAGCATGCTCAACTATTCTTTTTACATGGATATTATGAAATAATTTTGTCTAGATTTGCACTACAGATCTTGTTTGGATTTAAATGCAGTATTTTAGTAAATTTAAGAGAATTCCTAAAGTTCTTGTCCTCCACCGTAGTTATATTATTTCTGTATAGTTTTATTCGTGGAAAAATTCACAGGGTTTCTTGTAATTTTGGAGCTAACTTCCATTTTCCATGGTCAAGGCTTAGTAAATAGTAGTGTAAGTTTATCTGCAAGTGAACATGGTGTTAATTTAGAATATGAATTATTTTATTTTTTATTATTATTGTTAGGGTGAACATTAAGTGGCAACATTATGTGGCGAGGGTTAAGTTCACTGTTTTACATTTTAACTTGGGAACACTCTCTTTTATATGCTAATCTAGATTACAGGGATACAACATGCACCAACAGATACATTTTGTTATATAAAATTTTCGTGCTCTGGATGGTCACACTATTCTTTTTTTACACATAACAACGCCATCACGTGCCCTTTTCTAATCTGTAGCGTTACATTGAATTTTGTTACAGGGTATTTATCGTTAGTTGATCTGTAAGTTGTGGAGATTTTCATTAAACACATGTTCTTGTGTATATCTGAGCCCTGTCTCATTCTTTGTGGTCCAACTGTCAAACTTGTCGGGAATTAAACACCCGCATACGAAATTTGTGATCCCCATGTTTTTTGCGACCCCAACTCATCTACTCTGCGGGCAGTCTACGAGATACCACAAAGGCATAGAAATCGAAAACATTAAATAAAGCAAAATATAAGTGTTATATTTAAATTCCTATGTAAGGAAGAAAATGTTATATCAGTGGTTTGATTATATGACAAATGTGCTCAATGTAACTAATCAATTCTAGAATCATAAGATTTTCCGCATTTCGTTATTACTTAATGTAATTTTATGAACAAACGAAATGAAAAAAAAAATAATAAAATGTGTAATACATTTAAATGAAAAGAGCATTGCTAATTAGTAGCTTACCATTTACAATTTATATAAAGTCTCAGAAAATATTTTAAACAATCACATTTTTCTTAGTAGTTGGCCTAAGAATGCGGTTCAGTTACACATTATAATGAAGATCAACTTGAATAATGTATTCATCCTTTTTTTTCTTTTTTGAACGTATTAACGTTTGTATTGGATTTTTATAAATTTACAACGAAACTATAAAATTATGTTTAAAGAACGTGTTACAAAATCGCACTTTTCGTGTAGCATGCCTAACATACAGTGCTACCTTGATGATGATGCATTGAACCAAAGATGGTTTAGCTTAATTCTCAAAACTGTATTACATGAACGTTCCTGTGGTTTTAAGTACTTTACTGGTATTAATATAATTTTTTCATTGATTTTAATAGAAATGTATAATTTTGCAAATGTCTTGAAGCTAAACTTACGATTAAGTAAAATACGTTTTTTGATTATTTTCAAGAAAGTATTTATCCAAATAATAATTATATTTGGCTTTATTAGATTAATGTGGATTATCGGATTTTAGCTCATGTCTTAGGATTTCAGGGTGTTATTTTAAATACCACGATCAGTGTAACAATGATTTGGAATAAATCTGGACAGAATTACTTTTTTGGGGGGAATGTGAATGACATGCGATCCAGACAAGCTTGAATAATTACTTGTTAATGTGTATATTGAGTAGAAAGTCTGTGGAACTTTCACTAGACTTGAATTTTATGACATTTGAACCAGGTTCTATACGATGATATAGCAATAGATCCACTGAAAAGAAACTATTAAACTAGAGAAATAATTAACGAAATTACTACTAAAAGTAAAAGAAGAAACAACAACAGAAAGTGCGTTTTTCTCAAGAGCTTTCTGAAGACAATGCTTCTTTCTGATTTATTAATAATCTGTTATAATTACAACGGTTAAACATTTTCTTAATCAACTAATTATTCAGTTTACGTGAGTGGACCGCCTTTAGAAAGTATTTCAGAAAGCAACACAAATTTTGTAATATTACCAAGAAGAGAATAGCAGAATCCATAGTCAACGTATCTTTACATATATAAAAGTCAAATTTAATGGACAATAAGTTGTCACGGGGTTATTATAAAATCATAAACTGGTCGTTTTCTTATTGCATGATTGGATAATAGATATCTTGGGTGTTACAGAAGTAAAATTCGGTGGACAAAATTTAAAAACAAATTGTCTTAAGTTTTAAAAACCTAAGAAAAAAAACCCACCGACAACAATTATGTTCAGCTAATGAATTCGTTAAAGAAGTTTTCTTTTAAAAATCACGTATCAATGTAGCCAATTCATTAGAAACAAATGTTTATAAAAATTACTTACCTATATAGTCAATTTGGTAAAAACAGGTTTCATTGAAAATGGCGTTTCTAAGTACCTAGTGCGTTAAATACATATTAGAAGCTGTTGCTATGGGCAAATTGCATACTGAGCTTTCCCTTAGACTGTGTTTCGTTGCATTACAAATTATCTTTATAACGTTTTTAGCTTGAGGGTTTATTGGGCATGGTGCACATAACTTATTGAGCAGCTTTGTCCTTTAAAACAAAACAAACAAGCATTTTTCGATTATAAAGATTGGCATACAAGTAACGCGGTCCTGAGGGAGGTCTCGTCAGTGTGGTTTCTGATGTAAATATAAGTTTTAATATGCATGTAGCTCTCGGTCTAATATTCCCTTAAGAATTCTCAATTTTTATAAGTAACACAAAAAACTGTCTTAAAACTAGCAGCTAAAGTACCTTTTTTGTACTCTCACGAAAATTTTACAGAAACAATTTTATTCCACTATGTTGAATGGAAGATTATTTTTCTAAGAAAAAGTACTCTACTAAAAATGAAATTTATATTCTGTGTGTATAATGCTCTAAAAGTAAAAACTACAGAAGAACACATAAGTCAATTTTTCCATTTACTTGATACTGTTGTAAATCGTGTTTTTATTATTTACATTTTTTATGTGTGTTGTTTTGATTACTAAAACTTTATTTAGTTACTTTCAAAGATTATCTATTTTATATTATAACACCTTATTTCGTATTAATATTTTTTTGTTCATATGTTTTTAGTACGCTGCTTAGAAAGATCGACTCAAAATCTGCGGTTCGCGGGAACGAAAACTATCGTTAAGCATGCACCTCCTTTCAGCAGGAGGGGACGTTATAGCATGGCTGTCAACCCTAATATTTGTTGTTAAAGAGTAGCCCAAGTGTTGGTAGTTGGTTATGTTGACTAGCTGCCTTTTCTCTAGTCTTTCACTTCAGAATTAGGGACGGTTAGCGCAGATAGTCCTAGTAGTTTTGGGCGAAATTCAACAACATACTTAATATGTTTATTTTAATAATTCTATTCATATTTATGTATTTGGTTTTAAGATTTGACTTTTACTTTCAATATCTGGATTTAAATCTATGTTTATTTTTAAAGTTTCCTTATTTTATGTATCCCAACATGTTATTCCCTATTAATGTAATTTTTCCTAATATGTTTGTTCATTTAATTCTCTTAACTTTTATGCACGTTGTTTTAAATTTTGAAGTTCACTTTAACATTTTAATTTATATTTATTTAATTTTTAAAAACTTCTTTATTTGTATCCTCAGAATTTATTAAATGTTAATATTTTCTTGATATGTATATTTTATTACTAATATCAGTTTTTAAATAGAATCTTTCATTTTTTTATTTTCGGTTCCTTTAATATTTTACGTATAATTTCTGTGTTTCAAATATTATCAAGCATGTCGTCTACAGTTTTTGTTTCAGATATGAAATATTGTCCCCAGTGGGACAGCGATAAATTTACAGATTTACAACGCTAAAGTATGGAGTTCAATTCCCTGAGGTAGACAGAGAGCAGCTAGCCTATTGTGTAGCTTTATGCTAAACCAAACAAACAACTATGAAATATTAAGTTTAGCTGAATTATTTATTTTATTTTCTGCACGCTGGTGGCTTAACGGTAGGCTTGAGGTCTTATAATATCAGGTCCATATCCACACGATGGGCACAGCACAAATAGTATGTTGCATAGCTTTGTATTTAATGAACAAACAATGACAACCCTTTCTCTTTGAATGATTTATTTTGTTTTGGTAACACGGTAGATTTTATTTATATAAATCATATATACTTCCTTGGTAATATGGCTTAACCCATCATCCTTTATGGAAAATAAACACTTTTCTTTCTGAGTTCTGGGGACCTAATACATAGACCATTAAATGATTAAATGTAAATAAATATTCCTAAGTTTTGTTACTTAAATATTTCTATTTTGTTCCTATGTCTGTGGTATACACAGATTACTGATCTCTAACTCTAAGTCTCTGTTTAGGCAGTTTATCCTTATCAACATCTAGCAGTTTTCTACGTATTAAATATGTCTTTCAAAGGACTTGTAAGTGGATATCTTTCAACTAATGCAGTTAAACATAAAGCTCTAAATGTTGAATACTTTTTTATGATCTATAATGTACTCTACAGAAATACTCAATAAGATAAAAACACGACACAAAAGCATTTAGCGATTTGGATCCAAATCAGGATTTAAGTTCATACTCTTCTCCATACGAATTACTTAACTTTGAAGCTACATGAGATAGTTGTCTAGTGGTAAAAAGCAGAATTATATTAAAATAAATAAGTTTATTAATATGCTTTACTATATCAAAAACTTAAAAATAGTATTTTGAAGCGTTTGATATATAAACAAATACCTGCACATGTCTTGTATGTTTCCACTTACATAAAACTCTCATATATATCAGGTTACGGTGCACCCTGTGGTATAGTGTAACAACTGGCAAAAACAAGGTGAAACCTGAAGGAGTATCGTTGCTCAAAATCACAAGAAACCTCAAGAAGTATTCTATTGTCAACAGGTAGAATAGTAAGTGCTGCCACTTACATGAAAAAAAAAACAAGAAATTTATTATAATGTGTGTTTATTTGATAATATGTATAAAATGCAGTTAAAAATCCATAAAAAACAGAAATTTCTAAATGTCCTTGTTCAACATGAACGAATGTGTTTTATGGCACTTTCTAAGGACAGGACGAATGTCGAGTTCTTTGAAGGAATTACTTTTCTCACTTACAGGAAGCTCTGAATGCTACATAAAATACAACAATTTCTTTTTAAGTGAAATGCAAAAGCTTAGCTCCACAAAAAACACTTAACTGTTAGTAATAACAGGTGCAGGATATCGGAAGTTTTCAATATATTCGAATATTAAATTTAAAGCTGTTTTTCAATATTTTGTTTCCAATATTAAATTGAACTCTACCCCAAAATCAATGTATCTAGAGCAAAATTCTATGTCTGGCTCGGATAAGTATATTAAGTTCTACGTTTAATTAATTTATGTGTTGAATATTTATAAAGAACAATAACAAATACATCTTATGAAAGTAGATGACGTTTAACTGTTTTTTGGAAAAGGGGGGATAAAATATGATAAAGAAGCAAATGAGTGGCGGAAATGCAAAATTTCTCTCTCAGTACTTTACATCCTCACCCATTCATTTTAACTTCCTTTGAAGACTAAATGAAGGAAAGAGATTTCATGAAAGCACAAAAGTCTCCTTGATACGATCAAACTGTCTTTCCTTTGCCGCAAGTTTTCTTTAGACGAATTTTTGAGTATATTTTATGGTTTTTGTTCATCTTTAATCCTTATAGCTTGATATTTTATTTGAGTTTAAAAACCCGGAATGATTCCGTAGGACTCTAAACTTGACATTAGCACATAGAAAAGCCACAAAAACACGAAGGTAACAGTTGTTGGTATTTTGTACTTCATGGGTCCCCCTAATTCTCCTCCGACCATTTTGGAGCGGCGAAGAAAAAGAATAATACAGGAGATAAATGCACAAACACAAAATAAAGTCACGGAGAAGGCTAAACTTCCCGGATTCACACGAAACTCGTCACCTTTAATAGCATGGTAGATAGCTGCGATTGACCAAGCGATCCCGATCCCGAGGAAAACATTAACGGCGTTACTTCCTGTGACATTTCCTATTGAAGAATCGGCGTAGCGGTCGTTTATCGCAGCCACTTTGCTAGCAAACGTGTCTGAAATAAAGAAATATCTAGCTACTAATAAAACATACACTTGTCTTTTTCTTAAGCTATTTGATGTAAGATAATATCGAAAAACCACCTCGCTTTGAATTTAAAATATTAACAGCGTAGAACTTTGTTTCACTAATTTGAATTAATTCAAGCTTCTGATATTAATTATTGGAGTAAAATAGTTGAAAGAGATGTCTTTTTAAAATATTGAACCAATAAGTTATTATCTTTTATAATATCAATATATTTAACATATATATATGATGAGAAGACGATAATCAAAACATTCTGGCAACATTAATATAATTCCCTGGCTTACTAGATTTAGCTATCAAAATCGTTAAAAGAACAGTTAGATCATTAAGTTGTTCAGAAATATTGCAAACGTACAGAATTACACGAGCTGACCTGAATAGATAGTAAAACCTACATTACCTAGAATACTAGTACCAAGTGCTACAAACGATATAATAGCAATGCTGTCACATAAGCCCATGGGGCAGCTAAAAGAGAAGGCCAGGTCGCCTGTAGCGGTTATACTGCTCATAAAACAAGACCATCCTCCCTAGTATTTTATGCAGGAGAAGCTATACTGCTCATAAAACAAGACCATCCTCCCTAGTATTTTATGCAGGAGAAGCTATACTGCTCATAAAACAAGACCA